AGCACTTGCATATTTGCAGGATATGATGGTCGCAGAAACATGCAGACAGTACTTGCTGTCTCAAGATCAAAATTCTGCACCCTGCCCAGTTGCATGACATCCGAATGGCAGGTGAAAAGCAAAGGAAGCACCCAATGTGACTGATCAGAGAGGGGTTAAGTACAGCATAGACAAGGTCACTATGTGCGGTGCTGCCATGCTCTCTGGGAGTCTTGCTTCACTTGCATGCAACAACGGGCCAAGTTCGGTGTCTGTTTGTCCCAACCCATGAGGCCCTGTGAATTTACAGGATTCAGGATGTGTTGTGGTCGCCTTGCTTGCCCATCTCTTCTGGTGGGCCTGATGTGCAAATGTCTTGTGTGGATGTTCTAGATCCCATATGTAGTGCGTCGGGCCAGCGAAGAGGATATAAGGCAGTGCAGATCACAATCGTTTCACCTCAGATTTAATTTGCAGGACTGTTGGCACGATTCAAGTGCCAAGCTGCAAGAGTGCTAGGCGAATCAAGACCCCGATTGGCGTGGATCATCTGGTAGCTATCTTGTCAATTCTCTCCTGTCTCTTCCCAACTGCTGTGTGGAGTTCGCCACACATTGCATCTCCTGTGGATGGATTGTATCAGTTTGCTCCCTTGCTGGGGAGGTAGGTTACAAACAACTGGTGTAAATTGGTGTACAGGGGACCCCATACCTTGTGGTACTTGATCTGATCCATGTGCTTGATCTCATTTTGGGTTTGAGCCTGGTACATTAATGTTGTTTCACAAGCAGTACTGTTTCCACAGGCTGGCTATGTGAAGGAGGCTGAAGATGCATATAAAAGAGGAAGAGCAGTGGAAAGGAAAACACCGATGGAGCCACCACATTTTGGCTCATACCGGGTGATGGCATCCATGTACCAGGGAATGGGGAATCACATGAAGGCAATCGATTACCTCACGCACGCACTCGGCAAAGATCAGAATGAGCAGGTGGGTGGCAGACATGGATGCTTGAAGACGGATTATTTGTGCTTGATATTGGTGAGCATGGTACCAAACTAAATCAACAGTGAGTTTGTTGTACCCTAGTTGTGACCTTCCTCTGTTCTTGCTTGGCATGAGCACGGGCTCTGTGCCATGTGCTGAGAATGCATTCTCAACACGGTGGCAAAGTACTGTATGGAGGGGAACAGCAGCTCACGGCTTGATGAGGGGAAGGACATCTCTTTGTCCTGAGGCGATGTGTGTGACCAGGTTGGGTTGCAAATTGGGTTGCCTTGCAGGGCGGAAAGAAATCCATTGAACATACATACATGTCACCATGACCCAACAAACTCCACAGAGGACTTTTGAGCACCGAATCTGCAGCCCAGCACTGCACAAATGTATGTTTCTGTCCAGTAGTGAGCGTATGCTTCTCCTGAACAAGTGTACTAACTGCAACCGGCTCCCACAATCGATCATTACAGCTGACATGTGCTGTTGGTCAGAAACTGGAGTGCTTTTACCTGCGCGCTGCTTGCCACCATGCGCTGGGCTTCCACAAGAAGGCTGTCCAGGACTACCTGCGCTGCATAGAGTATGAGAAGACGGTGTCCAGAGAAGACCCTGTGGAACGACACCAGCTGTTGGTTGTGTCTTTCTTCCAGAAGGAAATGGCACTCTACACCCGTCACAGGCTGGACATCCCTGTGGACACCTTCTGCCCAGACATAGAGCTCAATCCCATCTTCAAGGTGGGTGATTTCGACGCGGTGGACAGTGATATATATTTGTGAAACTAGACTATTTCACACAAATCTGCAGGTGGAATGCCATGTTTTGATAGATGTTAATCAGTCCAGGTGCTTGTTTTTGGTGTGTGCTCAGCCTGCCTTAAACCCCTCACTGTCACCCTCAAATTGCCTGTGCTGAAGGCATTGTGAATTTCCAGATACAATTTGCCCCTTTGTGGTTGCATGGCTATGTAGAACACATCGTACCCTCTGCGCTTTGGGTTGGAGGTCATGCTGTCTCGCCTCACACCTTCTCCTGCCATCTTTTCTTCTTGGCTTGTTGCCTTCTGTCTCCTCTCCTCTCCTTGCCCAGGCTCACATCATCTACCCTCTTTGAGCCCATTGCCCCAGACAAGGGAATCTGCTGAGCAATACCTGTGCCTCCCTCACAGGAACTGTGGTGCAAGAAACTTGGCCCCTCCCAGGAGCTCATCGGCTCATATGCCATGCAGCCCACGGCCATCGAGGATCCCAGCCCGATGCCCCCTCGGCAGACTGCCAAGGAGCTGTCCCCTCTTCTATCAGCGGCCGACTTGGTGGGTTCCCTGCTGCAGAATGACTACCAGGGCTTTCTGCCAAACAAGCGGCAGCAGAGGGCGGCTGGTTGTGCCGCCCTGGAGCTGGCGCAGGCTGTTCAGGACGTCCTGGCGGCAAAGAGGGAGGGGAAGATCCACACGGTGGACTCGATGGGGGCCAGCGGTGGCATGGGCAAGGCTGGCCGAAAGGAATTCAGCTGGCGGGAGGCGATGGACATCATTGTGAAGTGGCGGCAGCTGTCGGAGCCTAATGACCAGGTGGGCAGGAAATGGGGAGCACATGAAGGTGCAATCTTATTGTTTGCTTCAGATAATCTGTAAATGAATGTTTGTGTATGCTCCCATCATTTCTAGAGCATGGAGCTGACAAGGATGCCATCGTGACCGCACTTGTAGAAGGAAAACCATGAGCAGCAATGCAAGAATGCGCTTGAAACTGCAGTGCAGTTCTCCGATTGCAAAGCAACGATGGAGGAAACGCACCATGGTAGTTCTGAAGGTGTTGCAGACATTTATGCAATTATCTCTCCGAATCGTGTCAGGCGCCATAACACTCTCCCCTGGTACAGGGATGAGATTCATTGCGAAGCAGATGCTGCATATGTTGTGGCTGTGTGTGCAAAGCATCAGTTGCTGGTCTTTTGTATCAGATTGTGGCAATGTTGCTTCAGTATGCAAGGAAGAACACTGGACATGGGAGTCATGTTCAGTGTTAATTCTTCCTTGAGTTGACACAAACTTTGCAGTGGCCTGTGATTTCTTGCTGAGTACTTGCGTGAAGTGTTGTCAAGCAGACATAATCTTGTGTCATGTACACTGTTGCGGTGCATTGTAGGTTGTGTGGGTGGATCTTCTCACTCCATCAGAATTTGAGGCCGGCTTTGGTTCGCACACACCCATGTTCAGTGGGCAGACCAAGTGTGTGAGGTATTACATGAATTTCTCCCGTGCCCTACAAAAGCACAAGGAAGTACTCCTGAAGGATGGAAAGGCATACAATGCTTCCAATGATGCCCTTCCTGTTGACAAACCTGAGCAGCAGGAAGCCATCAGGAAGGCAAAGACTGCAAGTGATATGTACAAAGTGATCAAGTGAGTGCTGGAGACGTTTCTGCCATTGGGCATCCGATTAGTCGCTCAAGCGTTGGCTATCTCACCCTGTGTTTCTGGTAGTTGGCGAACCCAACACCTGATGTCCATGCCCCTAGAGGGGCTTAGATTTGGGCAAGAGAACTGGATTAGTAGTCGAACATCTACCAGCCAGGTGTGTTTGGTGATTGACAAACCTGAGTGACATCTGCTCTTTCAATCAAGTTGACTTTGGGACACATTGAGAATCTGCGTGTGTAGGGTTGTCACAACAACAATGCACTGCCTCCACACATGCAAAGCTGTGGCGAACTTTGGGATACCGTGCTTCACAGTTGTGCTCAGGTCACCTTTTTTTCTGTTTATTCCTGAACATGCAAGGAAAACGGAATCTCATGACCACACATTGATGTGCGGATCTCAATACCCCAATCCTATGCGTCTGTTACCTTTCATTTAATGACTCGTCCGCCCTGACAATTGCATTATCACCTAGCAGGGATATCTCTCACAAGCTCTCTGTGTGGATTTGTGGTCTTCATCGCCTGTCAGGCGAAAGTTCTGTCCTTTGTCTTTTCATGACACATGTTATCAAGGGAACTTGAGTGAGGTGCCAATGGGAGCTTGCTGCTTCCTTTACTATTGCACCTTGACCTGTCCACAGGGAAGACTCGTGGGTTGTGGTGCCCATTGCGAGCATGGTCGATGTGGGCAAGATGATAGAGGGGACAAGGTTGACTCTGGTCAAGGTGCCTAACCAGCCAGACGCTTATGAGTTTTCGATACGGACTCCTGTGAGGCCTCCACGATGGAAGGAGTTCGAAGCAGAGCTGAAGAAGGCCTGGGATGAGATCATCGATGCCATGATGGGAGGTGAGTAGTTCTCTGGGTCATTGGATGGTGTTGCTTCTCCAAATTGGGTGCTGGGCGGCTGTGTTCTTGTGTGGTTTGGCAATGCTGTGTTGCCTTTGCTGCTGGTGAACTTGAGATTAGGGTTGCACTTGCTCTGGACTTCAGCATCAGAAATTGTTTCTCTTTGCTTTACGGCCAGTTGTTGCAGATTTGCTGTGTGGCTGTGGATCCAATTGGCTTCGTGCAGCAGCTGAGGGATTAGTGGCAAATGCCATGAAGTCATACAAGCACACATGTGACAGTCCAGCAACGGGAACCAGTCCGGATCAGGGCACCCTCAAACTCCCTAGTGTGCTGCACAAGGAAACTCCAGGATTATTCTTGCAGGAGATTGTGTATTGCAGTTTAAACATGTCCAGTTTTTCGGCGCTCTTCCCCATTTCAGGGTCAGCGATTGGCAGGCGTCACATCCTTGTACCAGAAGCAAATTCGATACATTCAGTAACAGTAGTTCTCAGTTGATACTTCCTCTTGCTCTGGCAGAGAAATATTCTAGTTGATGCACCTTGCGCGCATTACCAGGATCGCAGGCTGCAGTCCTATTGAGCCTTTCATGTGCTGCCTGCTTAGGTGACCCTCAGATTGTGGCAAAGCGGATCTTGGTGTACACTTACTACTGGTACAATTTCATGCCCCTTGCAAGGGGCACGGCTGCGGCTGGCTACACCTTCATGCTGGCTCTGTTCTGGGCGGCGGGCATGCCTGTTAGGATGTCAATCCCAACTAACTACCAGGTTGACTGGGAGGCCATCCTGGAACAGCACCCAGACATTTTTGTGGCAGAGCTCAGCCAGTGGTTCGTGCCCAAGGAGGGCCGTCCTGAGGAGTACAAGGAGTCCAGCAGAAAGGTATTGTTCTTTTGTTCCGAATTGCTGCAATTTGTAGTTGGGTTGCAGCAAGTCCAAACCTGGCAAAGAAAGTGTTGCGGCAGCAAAGCGAGAAAACGGCAAGCGCGATTCTTAGTCGGTTGCACTGGCGGTCCGTCCTTCCAGACAGTGTAGCTCGCTGCAAAAATGACGATCTTGTGCCACGCTTATCGCATGGTTCTTCACGCCCATTTTCAGACATTGGCTGAGCACAATGTGCATTGTTGTCAAGAGCCTGCTTGAGATAGGCCACACCTACCCAGAATTTATGATCAATGTGGCGCTTTGATTGGATATTGCTCATGAACATGTCATGTGCATATTGATTGTTACCCAGACCGTAGGCCTAAATTTGTTGGTCTGTTTTGGTGCTGTGTTCACAATGTTACTGGAGAAATCAGCCCTGTTCAACAAGAACAGGTGCGCTGCAGTGGATCACAGATGCTGTTGTGTGCGCTTGCAAAGTGATAATTGTGCGCCACATTAATCATCTGGCATGCTAGGCATATGTGAGGCAGTCCATACCTCATTCCTCGATGAGTTCCTTGTTGATCGCATTAGCCACACTATTACAGGCCAGTCCCATCCCATTTGACCGATAGTGTTGCTGGGCAGCGTGATTCGATGTACTGCCTCATTTCAGTCCTTATGGATATGCATGCATCTCAAACTAAGGTGTCCCAAAACGCCGTGCACATTGTTCTTTCCTCCTGGAAAATCCACAGTTCAAATGCAATTTCATGTGGCTCAAATCATTTTGCCCCTCAGCCTTTGCTGCGTAGTGATCTGCGGCTGTGTGTCGCTGCTCTTGTTGCGGATGCTGCCGGCGCGCAGGGGTCCAAGGAGGTGGCGAAGGAAATTGTGGCACCAGGTGCTGTTCCCAAGGTTGGCTGCGTCCTCAACACAATGAGGCGGCGGCTGGAGGCATTGAACGGCCCAGAAATCGCGAGGATCTGAGCTGGGCAGACCAGCGCGACTACCCGTCGCAAGCCACGCCCTCGTGCAGCTTCGCTCCTGTCGGTGCACCTGAGCTGCACTGCAGTTGCTCTCGGCATCGAGCCTCCTATGGTTGTGTGGGCGTGCGTGGCTTAATTTGGTTTGTATTGAGCTGGAAGTGGTTTGCGCAGAGGGCGCCTGTCTTGAAGGGCGGCTTGTGACCCAGTGGCAAACTGTGTCTGTAGAACCGTGGTGTGTATGATTGTGGTTTTGCTCTCTTCGCCGCCTTCCCTTAACGTGGCCCAAAATGTGCGTGTGAGCCTTCTGCATGTGCACAGGGCCATGTGCATACACGTGCATCGTATTCATGACAGATTCATCGGAATAGTACAAAAAGGTCGATTTGTCACCTGTCGTGATACGACCAATGTACGCTACACTACAACAATCATATCTTCTGTTATTTGTAACCTAAACTGGGTCTTAGAGATGAGCAGCAAGAAGTATGCCAGTCTGCCAAATCTCCATAACTGGGTCACCCGATTGTCCGTCAAGCAAGCGCAATGTCAGGAGCATGTCAACGAAGGAGTAGGTCCAATGGGCCAAGGCTGGCTGCGGAGTCCGGCTTGCTGCAATGTACATGAGGCCACACGACTTCGTGTCGCCAGGGATTGACAGCGAACGCCTGCCATAAAACTCACGCACACGAGCACCGCTGTTGAGTGGCATCGCCACCCCCCTTGTCTGTGCCACTCACCTGTGCGTGCTGGCGCGCCTGCCCGCTGCCATGCTTGGTGCAGGGCGTCGGATCTCCTGGAGCTCATGAGCTGCTCTGCACAGCTGCCTTTTGGCCAATCGTCTGGAGCCCCCGTATGTGTGGCGTTCAGCCTCGCGCCGCCACACGAATTGCATGCTCGATGACGAACCTTCCTACCTCTTGATGGCCACGTTGATATTGACGTGCTGTTGCTCGAGCTTTGCTCGACAGCAAATGTGCCCACAATGGGCGTTTATCAGAGTGGCATGTTGGCACAGCCATGGAGCGCCATCCCCGAGCGACGGCCGCGGAAGTCGATACAGAAGTGGCTTCCAAGGCGATACGTGAATGCCTTCAAATTTAAAGTTGGACAAGTTGCAATATCCCATGCACCCATGCTGAAATTCTTCCACTCTCAGACTTGATCAGTCCAGCCTGAGAGCACCACCAAACTCGCTCTTCGCGCAAACTTGGCGTGTGTCCAGGCTTTTCACCACTGTAAAGTACCAACCTTGTGATCAAGGAGGCGTCGCTCAACCCGCAGGGTATGCGCACCACCACCTCAAGGCCTGCTCCACCTTTGATGCGCGCTACTAAAAGCTGCTGAGAGATGGCGGCGCGCGCGCAGTCTGGGCACGGCACCCATTGGGCACCCATTCACCACACACTTGACTGGGCATCACAAGTCGTCCTGCAGCTTTTGCGCTCGGAAGCAAGACGTCGGTGCACGTCAGGAAGGCTCCAGGGCAGCAAAAAAAGGGCAGACCTGAGGCACGATCTCCATACAGTCCCCAAAATATAAATAAATATATAAATAAAAATAAATAAATTATATAAATAAAATATAATTCAGTCTGCGATTCTACAGTACTCCAATCAACGGCCACTTGAAGTGGACGTGTGCATGGGTTTGTGACGTGGCAGGCAATCGCCCCTTGTAGAGCGGAGCGACGTTTGGATATCCGACACGGAGGTCCGTGTGGAGTAGATGCATTCAGAATTCATCGTATTCACATTGGATCTTTGCTTGTACAGTGGCCCACGATGATCGTTCATTCCTTTCATGTGGATTGGAGCTCTCCTCAAGGCGCTTTGCAGTTGCCCGAATGAACAACACAATTATTGGGGGGATTACCAGACAGCCAGTCAGTTCCTAGAAAATTAGAGGGCCCCTACTACCATTCTCACTGACCCCAAAGCCCCAAAGCCGTCTGGTCGGGGTGCGCAAAATTATCCACGCTCGTTCTGTTGCCAGAATAATGGCCAACTTCCACGGCACACAGCGGTCCTCCATTATCATCATGAATTTTTACAAAGGGAAAAATGACAAAAGGGGGCCCTCTGCGGGGATGCAAATGACGAAAGGCGGTCCTCTGACCGCCCCCTGTACAGAAGAACCCCTTTTCTCATTTGCACCCCCACAGAGAACCCCTTTTGTCATTTTCCCCTGTGCAAGTTTTCAACATATATAAAATATTTTATACAGCAATCCTCAGTCATCATCATCCTTCATGCTTTAAATAACAAAGCAAGGAGGTAGCCGTCGTTTTCCTACATTGCCTATGCTAAGCAGAGTCCACGATCAGTTCATTAATGAACTAGTGAACTTTGGATTTCAATATTGAAATCTAATGTGGCAACAGAAAGTCCAGGAATCCATCAATTCCTTCTACCAAGAAGCGCTTGTCGACGACAATGCCTCAGGAAGTACACGGAAAGAAGTATTGTGGCCAGTTGGCGAGTGGGGACTGAAGCAGAAGAGTGTTTTGCATCTCGATTGCTGCAGTGCAGCATTGTCCCCCAACCGAGTACCGCCATTCCCCGCCATTAGCAGACATTAGCTCCCCAGTCAGGCCTCAGCCCGCCTGACAACTGATAGGCTGGGCGCCCCAGCTCAACTCTGGGCCAAAGTCCGGGTCGCCCTCCCTGGGGCCCGCAGCTCCGCCTCCTGCCCCCCCTCCGCCGCCATGGCGCTGTCCTGGAGGGCGCGGCGCCTGCTGGGCCCGCTGGGCCCGCGGCTGTGGCGCGCCGCCTTCGCGACGCCCGGCCTGCCGCTGCACGCGTCCGCGGCGCCCTGCCAGCAGGCGGAGCACCCCAAGCCGGTGCCGATGCGCAAGCTCAAGGACAGCTTCCTGGACGGCACCAGCAGCACGTACCTGGAGGAGCTGGAGCAGCGCTATCAGGCCGATCCACGCAGCGTGGACAAAACATGGGCGTCGTTCTTCAACAGCCTCGGTAAGCGAAAGGCAGGGGGGGCGATGTCAGGAAGTTGGAAAGTGAGAAAGAGAAAGAGAAACACATCGTGCAAAGGGACCACGTGCTAGGCCAGTGCGCACCAGGCTGATTTCCATGCTTTGAGGAGACAAGATGGCGCAGTGCCTGCAGTGCTGCAAAGAGGAGCGCACGACACAGGGGCCACACAGGGCGGGAAAGGGGGGACTGGTGTCGACCCGGGTGGGGGGCTTGACGAGAGGGTGGTTGGGATGGGAGCGCCGATCGCAACGGGTTGAGGGCGCAGCGGGCGTGGGGATAGGATCCGGTGGAGAGGGGAGGCAGCCGGCGTTGTGCGCTTACGATTTGACTGATTGGGATGAGAGTGGGCTGATTTGTGGTTTGGGGGCTGGGTGCAGACAGCGGCGTGGCGCCGGAGGCCGTGGCGGAGGCGTACCACAAGTTCGAGCGCGGGGAGACGGCGTCGCCGCTAACGGCCGTCACGCTGTCCGCGCAGACGATCCAGGAGAGTATGAAGCTCGTGACGCTGGTGCGGGCGTACCAGGTGGGCGGCTGGCCCTCGGGGGGCTGGGGCGGGGAGGAAGGGAGGGGTCCTTGGATGGGCTGCGGGGAGAAAATCGACGCGTGGGAGGAAAGATATAGATTGACTGATTGGTGACTGAGGGCGTGAAGGCGGGGATTGGCAAGGCGTGGTTGAGGGGGTGCGCGTTAGGCATGATTGGTGTTCTGGGTGTTGGACCGCCGCTTTGGCGACAAGGGGTGGGCGCGTCTTGCGCGAGCTTTGCCGATGATGCGGCTCAGGTCGACCGCGGCGCGCCGCTGCGGCCGGGCGCCCTTCCGCTCCCCGGACAGGCCAGTGGCGTGCGCCGTGGCTGGGCGGCGATGCCGCGCTGACAGCCTCGCTGGTTGGATCGGGGATCAGAGTGCGGTTGGATCTCTGAGATAGGTGCGCGAATCGCACGGTGACGGCGGGGTGTGGCATGGCGCAGGTGCATGGCCACGGTGCCGCGACCTTGGACCCGCTCGGCCTGGACAACAGGACACCACCGCCTTTCCTGGACCCGGCCTACTACGGCTTCAAGCCGTCGGACATGGACCGAGAGTGAGCAGGCCCTTGGCATCAGTTCGTGCTTGTGTGGCTGTTGTCTTGCTTTCAGGCTTTTGCAGTGCAGTTGTGGAGGCACTATGCTCTCCGAGCAACCGGCAGCTGCCCAGCGCAAGTGATTGGCCTGTTGTTTTGCATTCGCAACAGGCGATGCAAGTTTCCCAAAATATTGACCACAAGACGAGGAGCACTGGACTTCGAATTTAGAAAGATTCAGCACTTTGGGTTTCCCCCACCATCGCATTTATCAGCAGAACTCCATGCTCAATGTTGCTTTCTGTTGGATGACAACAAGCAACATGTCAGGTTCCAACACTGAAAGTCACTCTCACCCTTCATGTAACAGTTAGCCTGCAGTGTGTCCACAGTCTGGGTTCCCATCCCCTGAAGCCATAGAAAAATGTGAAAACGAGGGAGGACATCCAGTGTCACGATCATATTTGAATAGCATGATTGGCAACACATGTTTGGGAACCCGTTCACCAGATACTTGTGAGGTCCTTACTTTACAATAACCAACTTGTGACAAAATGTGTTGAAGCACCCACAAGGTGATGAAGATCAATTTTTGCATCCTTATTAGTGGTAGTGTGCATGAAGTGCAAAACTCAGCAAGGATGGACAGCTGTGGGCATGGACAGCCCCCAGCATCACCGGATTGGTCCAAAGACAAAGACATTACTTTGTCACGCTGGATGAGTGTGATCAAGTGGATTTTGAATTGTTGCAGTGGTCAAATGATGGGCCTGTAGAAAATCGGATCCACCTAGATTGGGGCATTGGGACAAAGTGAATTCATGCTGACGTGGTGGCTTTGGTCCTGCTGGGCTGCAGGTTTGTGTTGGGTCAGTTTGGCCTTGATGGTTTCCTTGGAGAGAACAAGCCTATTGTGAAGCTTGGAGACATTGTGAAGAGGCTGAAGGAAGTCTACTGCGGAAATGTTGGATATGAGGTACAAATTGTCCATCGCCGGGGTTTGAATTCAAAATGAAATTTGAGGATGTGGGGCTTGCCGTGGCACTGGTTGCATACGGTGGCCGATCGTCTTGGTCTGTTCACTGGTGTCAAAAAATGTCTTTGAAAGGCATTCCATCTGCTTGGCTGGAAGAAAGTGTAACCTTGGTCAGCTGCTTCGGACATTGATGTAGTTCTTTCCTAATTTAAGGACAGTTTGAATTTTCATTGTGCCAAGTTGCCAGGATCATCGCTTGCAAGTGCACGGCAGGTGATTTCATTCAACACAAAGTAGTATGCCAAGTATTGCTCTGGCACAGTCAGACACACTCTGGCAGGAGCCCCAGGACGGGGCTGGACGGATGCACAGGTACAGTCAGAGGGGTTTGAGAAGCAAATCCCCAAGCAAAAGCAGCAGTGGTGCAGCAGGATGCAGAGCCTGATGGGTGGTTGTGGTTTCGCAGTACATGCACATCCCAGACAGGGAGAAGTGCAACTGGATCCGTGACAAGATCGAGACCCTGGCAGAGGTAAAGTACTAGAGGGGGGACAGCGTTTGTGCCAACAGGCAACTGCCCAGACCTCTGTTGGACTTGGCTTGTGGATTATCATGCAGTGTAGAGATGGACACACTGGTCTTTGAGAAAATGTGTACCTGGTGGCACGCCTGTCCATCCTGTTGGTGCACACGCTGCTCAGGCGTAGTGGGCGGACAAGCAAAGTTGTTGCCATGAGAGGAAGCTCAAACTTGCACACAGTGTTGCATGCGTCACATCCTGACAGATGTCCTATTCACAATCACTTGTTTGCCATAATGGTGTTGCCAGCGCGCACATCCCGCACATCCTCCAGAGGTCTCTATGTGCGTAGTCCCCAAACTTGCACACAGTGTTGCATGCGTCAGATCCTGACAGATGTCCTATTCACAATCACTTGTTTGCCATAATGGTGTTGTCAGCGC